GGCTGTTTCTACTTTGGGACCTTTTTAGTCAGTGGGGGGCCGTACCTCTGGGCGGGACGGAGCGAGGGGGGGGGGGGGTAGAGAGACAGGAGGATGGTTGGACTCAATGTGTAGGAACAACTGACTGAGGACTAGTCAAATACACTGTGAATGAAGCTCCTCTGGATGTGTGGCGTCCAGAGGTACGGCTGTAGAGTGAGTAAAAAGGTCCCAAAGTAGAAACAGCAGTCTTAACATGTGCCATACCTTAAAATGTAGAGGAAAACACCCTTACACTCATCAATATGATGAGCAGAAAAGTCCCAAACCAAAGCTTTGAAGTCTTTATTTTTGCTATCGGGGAGAGGAAAAAAAATACTCGAAAACAAAAATAAAACACAAAACAGGAGAGGGAGGGAAGAAACGACTCCAGATATTACGTTGAATGCAGAGAAGATGAACTGCACGAGTTGGGTGAGACACTCCGGCACAAGGGGTTATTTCCTGGAGCTAGACTTCTAATATCCAAAAGTACTGGTCTGGAGGACCCATGTTGGTCAAGGGGTGTCCATGGAGATGCCAACAGCAAAATGCCTCAACGGCAGCATGTTAGCAGGCTGTCCAAGAGTGACGCTATGTGCTTCCTGCTGCCTGGCTCTCTCCTCCCTCTGAATTACCTGCAGAAAGAAAAGTGACAAGCAGGTCGTCAAGGGCTTTGTAAGCGAGTGGTCTAAATATTAACATCACAAAATAAACTGCTGCTTTGGAACCAACAAGCAAAAAGCAGCAATCAAACCCACAAACACTCCAAATCACGACATTCATTTGATTTAAGAGCAAGTAAACCAATGGAGTGTTGAAACGTGCACACGAACAATAAAAATCACTGACTCGTAGCAGGAGTGGAGGCTGAAGCTGAGGCGGAGGCGTTGTCTTCCTCGTCGCTGTCATCCTCGTTGGACTGTGGTACCTCGGCATCAGGGATGGTTGTTGTTGTTGGGGTCTCGGGCTCCTGATCCGCCCTGCTCTTCAGGGCTAAGATACGGTGATGTAACGCTGCAGCCAGCTGACCTACGTCCTTAGAGCTACCCTAAAGAGTCGCGACACAGAGGGAGAGACTACTCAGCACAACTGAAAGGAAGAAAAACTCAAATTAAAACATCAATATTCATACTCATAATACTCGTTTGAGATGAGTCCTGCGCAATCGGACACTGGCGATCGCCGCACAATGCATTTTTCTGTATAATTGTATTCTTTAACACTATATTGTTGGCTCATCTCAAACGAGCTTATTATACTACAGCTGAGACCGGAGCCTACTCCTGGCTAATGTCCGGTAGAAGGAAAATCAGATGGATGAAATAAGACTTCAGGTCACAGGAGGTCCGAGACTGACGGGAACCTGGCTCCATCGTTAACATCCTGGGTCAAGATGCAATTGACAACCGGACCGCATGACAGCGCAGGACTCCAGTGAGACGAGAGGAGGTGGACTCTGTGCTTACATCGACGATGCTTGATGCTCAAACATAGTCATCAAAGTTGATGAACAATGAACAACAAAGATACCAGTCATATTATCTGCCCGTTTTTATTGCTGCTATTTATATTGCATTTTGTTGCGCAACCCCGTGTTGCAGAATTACAATAACTGAACCTTCGAAAAGGGAAATATTTAAATGTGGGCCTGTCTTTAAATCAATCTATTTCAACAAAAAGGTTACTTTCACTCAAAAAGCCACGACAACTAACCTACGTTACCTCTTGAGTCACAACAGTCCAATAAAATGCAAGTTGAATAGTTACCGTATATGTGCACCCAACAAAGTTTATGGGACTTTGGCGACTCAAAGCGGCTTGCTGGCTCTGGATATCTCGTAGTGACTAACACAACATTTACAGTAGCAAGCACCTGAAAAATAGACAATTCCGAGTCCACTTGAAAGTGTGGTCTCAGGCATGGAGCCTGTGTACTCGGTAATACTCATTACAAACTAACTATTTCCTGAAAGGTCCACCATCTCTCTGCAGTGACGTGAACCCGCCTCAAACTGACAGCCATCAATAAGACGGTGATCTGTGCTGGTGAAGATGTGCTGTGTGAGGCAGATACCACGATGTCTCCAGTGCGCTCTGCACGCCCGTCAGCACAGAGTGTTTACTGCAGCGATTTTACACACAAATACTATACAATAACTAAAATCGACTAATACTCTGCATGTAAATCTTCCCCAAGCTTGGGAAAAAAATAAAAAAATGGCACAACTCTAGTATAATGTTTGACGATACATACCGATATTAGGAAGACCTTGACCCCCTGGTCCTCTGTGTCCATGGCAGTGATTCGTACACTCTTCTCGCTGGCTTTGTCCACCTGCATCTGGGGCCAGAGTTTAGTGTTGAGGATCAACCGGAGGCTGCCCTGGGTCCTCATCACTGCAAGAATTGAAAAAGAAACGCACACAAAAGCTATGAAGTACAGACCCAAGCAGCTGTCTATGGTGTTCCACCTGACTCGCTGTAGTGCTGAGAGTTCTTGTTATGAAAGATAAACGTGTCCTTGCAATAAAAAAAAAAAAAAAAAAAAAAAAAAAAAAAAAAAGAAATGCTTCAGGCGTGGATTATAGATTTCTTTCTTTGATGATAAAACACATCTTACTCCTTAATTCCACCATCACACATGCAGTGCAGCATGTGTTGCCTAATCCATAGAAGTGTGTATCACAGGAATGGTCTCCCCCTTGTGTTCAATGGCAGGTATTGTAATACTTATCAAGCTGAAAACCACAACTAAGAACTGGCACAAATAATCAACTCACGAACAAACATCAGCATTCATTACTGCAATTAAACCATGATTATTGGAGCTGTGCACATTCTTAACGGCCAGATGTTTAATTTACTTTTTTAACCCAAAGCAGTGTCTGAAGGTGCGTTTACCTAGACGAGACTGTAGCGTGCCGTCCTCTGTTGATGCCATGTCGTTGAGCCTCAGCAAACCTCGACCTCTTTCTATCCACGACTGAGCAGTCTTCTCGAAAACATATAACTTGCACTGCATCTGAAGTAACAGAGTAACACAAAACAAGAATTGTATTGCTTTCTGCCACATGTATTCACTGCATGTGTTGAATCAATCCTCTACCTGTAAAACATTGCTTTCTGATTCCTCTCCAGTTTTGACGTCGACTTTCTCTAAGATGCACTTCTTGGCTGTGGCTTTGGTGTAAGCTGCTGCAGACTCCTCCAAAGACTCTGACACGCTATTCACTGGTGAGATAAAGCACAGGGGTGAGACATCTGTACCTAGTTGGAGTGAACGTTTGGTTTCTGAGAATTTTATCAAAAACACTGATGTGTCGGTTAAAGAGAGTCTCCTCTCCCTCCCATATCATCTTGCAGTGACACAAGAACAACATTCTGCAAAATGTTGGACCATCTAGTGCCGACAGGTGATAATGAAGGACTCAGGCTGCCTGACACCCTGTCACTTAACACTGGAGCTGTACAGGACACACTTTGCAAAGAGTCATTTCAGCTCATATTATAATTGCCTGCGCAACGTAGCAGCTATGAGCGAAAAAACAGTCACTGCAACATACTCTCAAACCACAAACATGCCACTAGGTGATCTAGCCTTTTATGTTTAGGCCTCACAATAAGTGACGACTGTCAATTTGTGTAAACACGTTGACCGTAGTAGTAAAGTAAGAGTCCATGATTGAAAAATGACATTTTCTAAATAATAATAATAATAATAATAATAATAATCAGTATATAGCCATAGCCTCCATTGCCATCAAACCAGGTCATGCAGTATTCAATCCTGCATGTGTAATGTATTATTTTTCCCTAAAATAATCAGATGATATTTTCTGGTGCTCTGAATTAATTTCACTTCACACTGTGTGCTGGGGAGTGTAGCTAAAGTTGATACTGCTAAAAACTGCTTCAATGCAACAGGAAATGGGCGGGTTTGAAATGTGGACCTCAAATCAAAGATGTGGTATTTATTACACCCGGAGCTCTTTATGGAGTGCTAATCAAAACACTACCTCCCAACTGAATTTGAAGTGGAAACAAAGACATAACATGATGAATAGATTTCTGTGAATGTTTCTAGGATTATAATTTCAACATCACATTTCCGTTGAACTGCTTATTTGATAGCCTCGGGTCTTGCCAAGAGTCTCTTAAATCTATCAGTAGACTAGTTAAACATCAAACATGTGAGATAATGAACGAGGTTTGTGTTTTTTACCCTTCTCTGGGGTGGCTTCCTGTGATGAGGGCTCTGAAGCAGGGGCAGCTGAAACTTCTTTATTTTCCTCATTTGAGGTCTCGCCCTTTGGGGGACTCTGAAAGCACAACAAAGCGGATCATTGGAACTTGTTCAAGCCTCAATCACCACAGGTCTTTTAAAAGATGTCCGGCTCACTTATACAACAGGTCGCACAAACTCACCAGAACTCGTTCAGACATGTTCTGCCCAAAAACAAATTTTGCCCCACTGTCTGTACTGTTTGTGGCATTTTTTGAACTGAAAGAAGAAGAAGAAAGTGAGTTGATGGAAGTTAAATATAGATGACGAGGAGTTGCTAAAAATACTCAAAGGAGAACACATTTTCATTACCTTGGGGTAGAGATGTACTGTAAGAAATAATTAGTGGCCTCTGAGTCCAGTGGCACACCATCCTTTGACTTGCCTTCTTTACTGTTCTCTTCCAACTAGAGAAAAAAAAAAAAAGCGTTGCATTTGGAGTTACGCTTAAAGAAATGACGCAACGTGTGAGAAAGACCAGAAATGTTCACGAATCCACATTAATGAAACTCCTGACTAACTTGCATCCTAGCAAGCGAATGAACATTTCCAAAATCTTGTTGAAACATTCCCGCCTCAACGGTTCCAGACCGAGCACAAAATTATATTGGGCATCGTTTAAAACACCACAGGAAATGCACCACAAAACACTACAGGAGACTGTCATAGCAAGGGCAGCGACACCCTTAATGTAGTGATAGTATTTATTGGCAGAAACGGAAAATAATTAATAAATGTTTTTTCATGAGTGTATTATCACCTGAAACTAAGTACTGCTGTGTTTTGTTAGCTTTGAATGAACCGTTCATATAAACGGCAAGCTTTGACACATTGCCCTTTCCTGCTTTGTGAAGTACAAGCAAGAATTTAAATTACTGAAGAGCATATGGACGAAACTCCAACTATGTATTGCACCGAAAAAACATAAAACCTTAACATTGCATCTTAAGACATCCTTAAGAAGTCACAAATATAAATATAAAATGTTGACTCATTATTTGGAGTATCTACCCTCCTGCGTCTGCCACATTTAAATCTGTTTTTGTTCGTCACACATTCTCACCTCAGTTTGTGTCACTGTGTGTTGAACAGGTGTAAGAACTGTGGAAAACAACCAACCTTTGCTCTGTCTTTGATATTCTGACCAAACACAAAAGATATTGCTACATCCGTCTCCTTCTCTTTTTCGTCTTTGTTACCACTTGCACCATCTTCCTCATTTTCATGTTTCTGAAACGGGAACAAATTAAAAAAACTCAACTGTATTATTAGTCTGTATTTTTTTCTCTACAATGTCAGTTCTAAAACAACGCAACATTGTTCGGAGTATGAAAATAACTACAAATCTTCTGTAGATAACCTGCAGTGTAATGCTTTCCTAAACGTTCTGTCCAGTGCCTTAAACGAAGCCTGCACTGAATCGTTCATCAATAACAACCCCTTGATTATAAAAGGCAGCTTCAGCCACTCCTCACCTGTGACCTAGACAGAGAGGCTGAGTGCTCTGTGTTGTTCAAGAAGAGTGACGGTGTCACAGCGTCCCCATCTGACGACTTTTTCACACCGTTAGTTCCACAAATGGAATCTAAATGAAAAAACAGAGAGGACAAAAGAAACTCACTTTTTTTTTTTTTAACTTTCCCAAATGATATTCAGCCTGTAAGGCACATGCCAAAAACACAGTATGCACTTGCACTATGCAAGTTATCAATATTCAAAAGTTGAATGAATTATCAGACAAAGAAGATTTTAATGATATTTGAGAATGTTTTATAAGTATCAACTAATGAGTGCAGGTGACTCCAAGCTGCACTCACTGGACTCTATATGTGATTTAGAGGGCGGTGCCTGAAGAACTGCAGGGCGGAGGACACTGCGTTGCTGCTCCTTGGGTTTCTGACTTGGGACGCCTGCAACAGAGCCAACTTGTCTCATACTTTTTGAACACAATGAGAAGTTCTGGGTCTACATGTTCAAGTCTAGATCTACCATTTCCATTTCTAAGAGGGGTCATATAAAAGGGTGCAAGTCCGGGTTCAAGTCTTTTTTTTTTCCATTTCCATCAAGTCAGTGTGAGAAAATGCTACACGATGAAGGCTCAAAACCTCAAACACCAACCTGAACTTGGTGCCTGTCCATGTATGAGAGTTGGTGGCTTTAAACGGAATCCCACAGGCTTCTCCTCTGGTGAGACGGAGCACAAGAGAAGACATTTTCAAAAAGATTGTATACAACTTATTAACTGCATGTTCCTTCGGTTTTCTAACCTCATGGCCCGTTACCACAACAGCCCTTGTAAAGCCTTGAGAGCTGTGTTGCAATCAACTCCTGTGCAGTAACGTGGTGGGCTCTAGGATCTCTCATCTATTTCTCTCCATCTCAGTGGCTTTATTAGTTTGACATGACTTGGCTCTAATTACTGTTAAAGCTGAAAGCATTCGGAAAAACGGCATCCTGTCATACCTACTGTAGTACCCTATGCGCGCGTTTGATTTGTGTTCCTCCTTTCTTTGAGATCCAAATAAGTACTTTATGCAATATTCTGAAGACGGTTATTAAGTATGCCTTGTTTGTTTGCTCGAGTGGATACCCCGCCCCCTCTGTAAAGCCCTGCCAACTCTAAACACTTGGTGGCTGTTGATAAGAATCAAAACAATCAAACAAAGCAAAAACTGTAAAAGACATTAACAGAAAATGTACCATTCTTAAATAATTCACAAAAACACACATACATTGCAAGTCCCACTGCAGTCATAATTACAGAAATAGTCTGACTTCTAGACATTGTATGTTGTTGTATTGTATTCAGATCGATTGACAGTCTGAACAAAGCCAGGTATTCTAGTTATTTCTGGTATGTGTACTCAAACCTGGCTAATGAAGCTGATCCTGATAATTTCACCAACAGTGTGATTTTAGTTTTGCATTACTCCCTCCAAAGAAATGCACATGGTCAACTATAACAACTATTCTATCAGCGATGTGAACAGCATGCTACCAACTGCAGTCTGACAAATACTGTATGTTAGAACCACAGGGATCCCAAACCTCAGCAAATGGTCTGCACAAGCATGGAACGGAGACCTGAACCAATCCTGTACATGAATATTTAACCCAAGCTGCCGACTTGCACTGCCAAATTTGAGACACAATCTCAATGTTATATTTTATTCCTTTTTTAAAGACGGGACAGCCGGTCTCTCAAATACATAATAACTAATAAGGACAGACATTATATATGTACGGTCTATACAGAATAAAGCACATCAGCCCACCAGCACATCTTGTAATCCCTCGTAAACTATTCCACTGACAAGTACAGTGGCACTACACAAACAGCAGCCAATTTCCAGCTCATGACACTACGACTCTAATAATAAACCCTGTGATATTTCAAGCTCAACTTTTTTCAATATTGGAGTCATCATTTTTGCTGGTAAACTCAGAACTTTTTTCCGTGGTGAACTTGGCCGTTCAGTCAGTCATAATTCAGAAAATAACTTCATTATGTACCAGCTAAAGCCGACACAAATGCTTCGGAGCTTTGACCACTGCCATGGTAATAGACTAGGATTGTTGTTGTTTTTCTACCCCAAAAATCCCAAATAGCACATGAAATAAGGACTAGTAATCCCACATTATTCATTATGCATCAGCGTTAATTATTATGAGTTATCCTCATACGGATGGCACTGTTTCTTGTGTATGTTTGCTGCTAAAACGCAGCGGCGGTGATTGACGGTCTAAACAAAGCCAGGTATTTTATTTTAGGCCTATATGTTGGCATAGGCTACAGTACATTTATCAATAAGTTTATAGGCTTAAATATGATCTAATTAATTTGATGGGCTATCGCAGTAATTTGTTTGATGTAGTCATCTTCATTTCAATAATAATAAAAAAAGACAATCCTTGAAGTCCAATTTTTGTCCTCATCTCACATTAGACATTAAACATACAACTTTCTCCTAGAAGCTGTTCATCTGACTGAGATCTGTTTCTCTTACAAGCAGAGGGGGGTTCTCTACCCTCCCTCTCTTTTCGGGACAGCCCTAGTACCAGCATGGTCGTAGGTCTTTCTAAGTCAAAATGGTCCCACAATGAAGAAGCCTCCTCTGAATAGTAGGGGATTTTGAGAAGCTCGTCTCTAGTAGCAAGTTATATTTCATGGAATACTGACAATGAGCTTATCAGACAAATGCAACAAACAGGCTTCACCCTTCCCTTTTAGGTATATTGCATGTTCTTTTTGCAACACATGACGCAGACGATTTGTGCAGCAATAGACAAAAAGGAAGGACGCCGCTAAAGGAAGCTAAAGGCAATGACCTGAACCGATACAGAGGTGTCCAACTTGACTGTACTAATCTGGCACAGTAAGTTTCTTCCATTTCAGTTATTCTATAAGATAAATACTACATGTAAAAGAGCCAATTTAAAGTAACTTTCTAGTTCTACATTCAAATATCATTTAAATTCCTCCCAGAAAAGATCCACTTATGCCTGGTAAAATTGGCTGTTTATGGAAGTTGTGCTTTCTGTAACTACATGTTTTCCTCAACACATGAATAATGTCAGACCTCCACAGCAGATACTTGAAGGGAAAGCTCTAAAATTGCCACATGCAAGATAACTAAAGCTGTTCAGAGTGAATAGAGTGCATTTGCAGGCAGGGAATACGCACAACTTCACTGACATCTAATTTACAACTATTGATGTCACAATGTTAGAAACTATAAACATATGGTCAAAGAGGTTTTCTGGCATGTTTTTGTGATAGCAAAAGTTATCGTTTAGCAAATCATTTATTGTGTTTGTTGCCTTAAACTGTTGGGAAAAAAAACCATGCTTAACCTCTGAAACTAATATTTTTACTGCAGGGGGGCTTTAATCTGTGAAATGAAACTAATGGTGGTCTAGATGCCTCACCTGGCTCAGAGTCAGAGTTCCCAGTTGGAGACTGGCAGAAACTTGAGGGCATGAATACATTGTTCTTGGGAACTGCAAAGTAGCGAACAAGCATTGCACTCAGCATACAAATCAATGTGTACACCACAAGCAAAAAACAAGAAAAAACAAATGCTCTGCTTAGTCACCACATGCCCTTACCAGAATGTGGGGGTGGGAACGATGACGTCCTTTCCCTTTTCACAGGGGGGCAATAGCTTCCCTCGTCTTTATCCGAGTCTGAAAATGGAAACAAAATATTAATATAATTGCAGTTTCAATAAATATGAGAAAGATAATATTAACAAAGATGGAGGCCAGTTTGGACATTAGACTTACCTTCCCCATCCTCTGCACTCGAGCCCTCCGCAGATCGCTGCAAGAAAAGTGAAAGATTTGAGCTTAACAACTCTTCTGCATTGTGTGCTTTACAGAATGCTGTCCACTGAATGTCAGTATAAATAAAGTCCACATGTGTAATAAATATGGCGTCAGCCTCAATAGATACTTGAGCAACATAGAGACACTTACCTTCTGTGCTTTATCTTTTTGGAAAACAAACACAGGTGGCGCTATGGCAGTCTTGTCTGTTAAGAGAAGATGTAGGCTAGTCATCCCAGCACCAACATAAACAACCCTGTCTGTTTGATTCTTCTTCATGGTATAGAGAACAAAATAGCCAATGCTATTGCCTAGTTGTTCCCTGGCCTTGATTTTCAAAGGTTGTGTGCATTGGTACTAATCAGCATAATCATCTCACACTAAGTCAAACACCAAAATTCAATGCACAGTAATATATACTAAATGAATTAACTTATGATACTAAAAGCCATCCAAAATATGGGGAGGTGCACTTAGACATCTTATAATTCACAGACAAAAGTTTTGGTTCACAAACTTACAGTGTCTGCCTGTTACTGAGAGTGGTAAAACACAACTGTTCACAGTTTATTTAAATGTCAGATTTAGCTGGGTCACAAAAAAAGTGTAGAAGAGGAAGTGACTATGGTGACTTGAAAAACAGAAATCTATAATGCTGAACAATGTCGAATTTCAGTCAAAAGAAAGTAACTCTTAATCATACTAACTTATACCTACAGTTAGTCATGCAATCCTTTTAGGAGTAGGCCTACCAGTAAGAGTACATCACATTATGTTGACCTAAACTAAACATTCATCAAATACCAAACGATATCAACCAATGTACGAAACATTAACATAAATACCAATGTATCACAAAGTCATCAGTCATTCCACAAGGCCGATCAGCAACTGTAGCTACTTTTGTAAATCAAAAAGGGGATTTCATTCAGCTCACCACCAACGATTCTGTTGCAGCTATAAAGCCACCATCATAACTAACCAAGAATAGCAATGGCAACGTAATCATCTGATGTCACCTCAGGCCACTTAAAACAAGTCTACCTTCACACTGCAACCTCTGTAAAGATGTCTAATCCTATAACGTTAGCAGACAAAGGTTTTGATCTGTCTGGGTCGGGCCTGTAACACTGAGCAGGTGGAGCATCGTCGTGAGCCTTGTTGGGGTATAAATGCATGCGGTAATAGAGCCATATAGCCAAGGATTGTCTACTGGACCGACATTCACCATCACAAACACACCCAATCGTGGCTAATACTAGCCGTCCATGTATGAAACACGTTTAATCGCGTGTGACCTATATTAACGTCCAGCTTTGTATCTTACTGCGGCTCGCAGTCAGCCAACGTTATCTTACTTTACGAATGTAAGAATTCAGGGATGCAACACTGATATTCACGGTAGGTATTCAAGCAGCCCGAGAAGCTGCCGGCTTGTATTAACCAGCTAGCATTTACGCTATCTGACCCGTCCCAGCAAATAGCCGGCACCACCGGTTGTTCCCCAAAGCCCCGAGCGTTGCATAGCTCACTGGCTAGTTATTAGCTTACTGCTACAGTTATTAGCTAATGCGCTCCATCCCGCATGAGTCATCTCGTCTGACAAGCAATGTCACCAAGAAGCTCACTAAATTCCCCCATAGTCAACACATCAACGTAATGAAGAGCAGATATGACCGGGATATATTAGAGAGTATAAAGGAAGCAGCTATTACGCCAAAGCAAGTCTCTTAGCTAACGTGTTTCTCTCTACGCGCCCAAATGAACGCAAAGCAGTCCTGCAATTGAGCGCTAACTGCATTAAACAAGGAAAACCGCCGAGCTATTAACTATCAGTAGAAATATCACCATAATAACTTTGGCCCATCACGCATTGATTTATTTCCGGACTCGATGTTTTAGCTCACCACAAATGGCAAAACATACTGCCTATAAATAGCCGGGTGCTAGCGTTAGGAGGTAAGCCAGCTAGTCGCAGGCATCGTTCGAGGGCGTTCCGAGGCATTCCAGGTATTACCCATAGCCCCGCCGTTAGCCTGCTTGCTAAACGCTGTAGTCTTGTAAACGCCGCCAAAGCTATAACTCACAAGAACTCGCAATTAACATGCAGCCGAGCGGCGTCATTTCAGTTATCAAATATGTAAACAATGTACGGGCATCGTTGATAGCGGGCCCAGTAGCTGTATTGTTTTTCTCATACTGCCACTTACTCACCTTCGTTTGCCAAGTCCGCCATTTTACTTAGACGCTCACACACCCACAACCCACCGCGCAGATAACACAAGTTGAAGCAGAAATGTTTTCACTCGCAGAGCGCACATTGAGCGCGACCCCCTGCCTCCCCTGTGCCCGTCAGTAAACCACAAAGAAAATACTGTCCGCGACTGTCGGTATGTTTATGTTTAGAATGGAGCACGTGTTTCAACTAACCCTGAATATCAACTTAAAGTTTGCGTGGATAGTTTAACCTGCTATTACAGGAACTCCTCAGACCCCTATATAAATAGTTTATAGTTTACCATGTTCTTATAACACAGTTTAAAAAAGCCCAGAATCAAATTAAAAACGTAACAAAGAGCAGGCCAGTTTGACAGGGAAAAAAAAATCCCAAATATCACATCTCATGATCTTCCCCAGCAGATGGAGTTTGATGAATTGTCATGGAGACATTTGGCATTTTTATTATTTTTGGCACAATGATTGACGTAAAAACAAAAAAGATAGAGCGCCAAGGCCTTGACTGATAAACACATTTACAGGAGGAGGAATTGCTGCACATATATGACACTCCAGAAGCAACCTCATAATAGGATGAAAGATTTCCAGAGTGCAACAATAATGTGCACTCTAATAAGAGAAGTTCCTGAGGACTGAAAAAAAAAGTCAATAATTTAAAGCTTCTGTAGATAAGTACTCCTAGTCAGATGTGGCAGGGGGAGGGGAAGTCAAAGATTAGTCATAAAGTAATAAATAAATTCATTCATTGTATAATAAACGACTGTGGAGGAATAGTTTTCACAATGGTTTCCTCTTAAACCCTTCCCACATTGAGTTATTATTTTTTTATTGACACATTTACCTTTCCAGTTTCAGCTAAAGCTCTAACGCCTTCTTCAGAAGTGTTGTACATGTGTACAAGTCGTGGTTGTAGTTACGATGACAGTCAATAATGTGAAGGTAAACAAACAAGACATAGTTCACTTTTCATGGATTCAGATTGTATCTCATCATGTTTACATTTATTCACACGGTGGATCAGTGCTGCCTCACAGTGAGAAAGTGAATGGGTTTGAATCAATCGGAGAGCTAGGCCTTTCTTTTCCATTGATAAAAACAGACATGATGATCATATTTATTGTGAAAATGAATTCATTTTCTTGGGTATTCTTTGGCAAATGGTCTGCAGTAATTTCAAGTAATTTCCTTAGACATACAATAAAGATAGCCTATTGAGTTTTTTAACAGTCATTGTTCCCATCAAACCCTTTATGTTTATCCTTGAGGTTTATAAAACATGTTGAATACATTTAACATTTGCAAAACTTAAGAAAAATGTGATTTGAAATTGGCATTGTTAACACCAGCTCTCCTCATACACCCTGCTGTGAATCAGACATGAACGGACTGAACGCATGAAATGCCGATTGGTTCACAGAACTTTAAACACAGAAATGCCGCTGATCAAATGCAGGAGTGTCACATTCTTAGACTTTTGGGGACTCTAGACAAAAGCCAGCATTCATTTAAATTTTGACCCCTCTCAGTTCATCTTTACTCGATATTATTGCCTGACATTTTTGTCTTGATAAACTGTTTTCACTTGGGTGTTTTTACAGGTTGGTGTTGTGTACAGACTGCCTTTAATGTTGCTTTGCATGTGACATTTTTTTCATTTTAAAGCCAAAGCAGTTCACTTCATCTGACACCAGAGGGCAACAGCACTTAATGCTGGATGTAGTCCTCCTTTATACAAAGACAGGAAACACAACACTCTGATCACTCCAGTGAAACAATGTTCACACTGAGTGAATTATCAAACCCAAGATGCCGTGCTTTTAAAGTGGTACTATTACATCAAATGGAAATATTCTAACCGGCTTGTGAATCATTTTATTCATATTTTCCCCACCGAGCAGAACAGAACAGGAAAGAGCAGAACAGAACAGGAAATTGTACGTGCTTGCTATTCTTGAGCAGGTTTTAATAAATCATTTGAACAGATTATTTTACTTTATCCAACAAGTCTCATTAAATCAATCTATACGAAGGTTCAATCATAGAAAAACAATTTTTTTTCCCTCCGGTAGTCTAGGATTGATTTTGCAATGTTTTTTCAAGACATCACTCTGTTCTCAACTTGCCAGTGGGTTTATAGCTGACTCAATTGTCACATGCCGTTTGTAAATCAAGACATATACTCTCAGTTGGATTTAAGCAAGAGTAAATCGTTGCTCTCTGTTGAGGAATAAAATTCTCTCTCCTTCACACTGTACTCCACAGCAGTTTATTTGCTGCATTAAAAGAGTCGAAGTAACAGCTCCTAAACAAACATGTATGAAATACTTCCGTTAGAAAGTGACCCGGGTGGTTAAAGAAGCAAAAAGTTATGCAGAAAATGCTGGTCAAATACAGCGCAGACACACATTTGTTTGCATTGTTAGTGTTATTATGGTATAGTAACACTGAATAGAGCTCATTTCACAAGAGTTTTCATTGCATAATACCTACCAAAAGTTTTCAGCAATAATTATACTTCAGATTTCCCTTCAGGCACAACTCGAACAAGCCACTGCATGTGTTTATTCTGTTTCCCAAGAGCCCTCGCCTGTCAGAGGAGCTTGGCTTGTGCTTCGAGCCATAACAGTTTCGTTTCTTTTCTTATCCATCAGCGTGCAGCCGCTGTCCAATGCCCACTGAAAATCAGCCAGTCAACGTTTTTATTCGTTGGAGGTCAGGGAGCTTAATGCTCATTAAACTCTAATTACACTCTACATGTTTGTGCTTTTGGTTGTGGTGCATGACAAAACTGTCTGTGTTCCCATCCAGTGTAGCAGATTTCCAAACAGGCAATGTAACATTGTTATAATAGTAAAAGTGGCTCCATCAGGGGCTGGAAAAGCTGATATCCAGTCCTTCTGGTAAGTGTAATGTGTGTGTAAAGATATGTGCTGCTTTGAAGTCCAGTAAGACCACCTCAGACACACTGTTACTTTAGAGACTTCTATCTCCCCCCAGATGATTGTAACTAACACCTGAAGATAAAAACCCGGAGGAATTTCACTGGGAAAAAAACAAGGGAAATTATGACGCAAAGATTCTTTCACAAAAACCCAAAACCATCTCAGTTGCAGAGTGGTGTAATATTTGATCTTATCTTCTGAGCAGTGTTATCTGAAGAGCATAGCTTCTGGGTATAGAGCCAAATACAGCTAAGTGATGAATATGTTAGAATAAAATAAGAATGTTATAGCTTGAAAACCAGTGGAGGAGCTCTAAAAATGGTTAGTTTTGTAAATATTTGTACACATGTAGGACTTTTCATGGTGAACAAAACTGAAGAGGTCTAATGCCGGAGAGAATGATAAAATGAGATGTTTGTGGAAAACCCCAGATTGTATTTGTTAGTGTCCAGTGCTAGCGTTTTTAAAATAACATCTGTCTGCAATATCTGTGCATGGCAACTATGGTTGTGAGGTAAAGTTCATGGTTAAGGTTTAGAAAAAGCTAACATTAATCGTAGGTTAAACTGACATTAGGTTATATTCCTCCATGACAAATCACAAATCGACAAGTCTATACCAAAGTACTTTGTGGAAAAACTTTTGAAAAGTATCTTTTTAAGATACTAACCTTATTCTATTCTATTCTATTACATGTCTAATGAAATGGGGACTGGGAAGACACCGCATCTTTAATAGTGACCTTGTGCGGCATAGTGGGTGTAACCAAAAAATTCCTAAACATAACATCCTGTCACAAAAGGATATGCATCCTGTTACAGATGTAATTACACCATCTCAAATCACCTTTAACATAACAGTGAAAATACTTTCTACCTCTGCCGATACCGGTATTGGCTTTGCTGGTCTTTTCTTTCTATGTCGTTTTGTTGGTCGTATCTGAAAAGTAATGGCTGGATTGTGATCAGTTGGCTGTCTACATTCATGCCCCCAAGAGGGTGATACATTTTGATGTTGAGACTTATCCTCACCTAAAACCATCTGGGCAAAGTTACACTTATCAAATCTCCTGAGCCTTTTGACATTGACATAGATATTTTTATTTACATGTGTGTGCTACATGCAGGAGAAAAACTACTGATTTTGCAACTCCTCTGACTTTGTTTTTGTCATCATCCCGCCCAGAAAATTATTTTTTGAACCTTTACCCTTTTGTTCGCTTTCATTTTTCATTTTCTTGCACATGCAGTTTACAAATGGACGGTTGTATAAGAAGTAAATGTTAAATCAGTATCATTATTCAGTCTACAGCATGTGAGACAACTCTGTCTTCGGTTCTAATGTAGTTTTCTTGTACTGTGTGCCAAAGTAATGTTTCTCCCACAATGATAAATGGCTTCTCGGAGATGTCTTCTTTCATGTGCATGCAAAATGACAGCAACAGTGAAGGGATAAAACAACATCTCACATTGTCTGAAAGGAATGCTGAAGACAACACACTGTATCATGACACTGCCTGAGTCCAAATGCCTCAGGCAGTGGACCATCATCTCCTGCCAAATATCCAATGCCATTAATCAATCAGGATTTTTCGAATACGCGATCACAAACAGGAATAGAGATAACCACAGCCAACTCTTTAGTGTTGTTTTTTTTTGCAGGTTGCAGGTTGTTTTGCCAATGAACATTCAGATCTTTTTCATTTTGTACTGTGATCAAACTCACACGTCTAGCAGGGAGCAAGACCAGAACCGCACGAAAAGACTGAGGCAATTTGTGAATAAATCACAGCAAACCAAATATATATAAAATGCTTTGATGATCGGGTGGCAACTGGGGTAGGAATAGGATATCCTCTGATTTCTTCTGTGTGACACAATGCACAATGTGTTCGGGAGTAGAAGTGTAGTAAACAACCAAAGTGAGCACCAGTGTCCTGCAGGCCAAGGAAAAGAAAAATGAAACGCCTCATTGGGCTTTAGCAGTGTGTTTGGATGTGAGTGAGTATAAACAGTGAACAGAGCTATCCGATGTTCACTCAGGCACTAAAGGCTCATTAATATCTGTCGCAAAGCGTTCAACAAAAATCATTGTGAAACAAACACTACGGCGTGTTTTCAGGAGTTAGCAGGAAAGGCTTTTGGTGGACACGCGATATGGCAAAGCTGACAAGTGTTTTTAATGCAAAGCTTTTTACCTGTCAGATCACAATATAACTAAAGGAAGGTTACTCCATATCCGATTCTGGACAACTGGTTTTTCATGCATCAGAGTCAAGCTCTTCTGAGAATACTGACAAGCATGACGGAGAGAGTCAACAGGTTTTTACGTGGTGTATTTCCACACTTTTTGTGGTTTAAGTACAGACAGCAACCTAAATTTACGATGGCTTCATTTGTCACACTGTACTCAACTCAATCTAATTGTATATCGTTTTTAATTTGTCAGGGAATAGTAATGTCATATACTAATAAATTCCAGGCATGCGGGCCATTCATTTAAGCATTAATGACTTTAAAATGAAGTGACTAATGACTTATTACTGCCTCTTTCCAGTCAGTTGCAAGGGTCAAAATGATGTTTTAATCGTCAGTTAAGGTGCACTTTATTGATTCTGAGATACAGCCTTTATGGTCTGAAAAGACTTATTGTGTTCCATCTGTTGGGGACTTCCACTCACAATTAAAAGTAAATGAGCAACAGCAACACTTTCACCTTTACACTGTACATCAAATAATGTTCTGCAAATGATATGTAGTGTATATGTTTTAAACTTAAAAAAAAGCTAACCAGAGACAGTGAACACAATTTATCTCAGCATGAAAAGTAATGCACAAGAGATAAATAATGGATAAACAATAGAATAATAACTATTAAATAGTGGTAGGATGTCCTCTCTGTGCATGGCAGTCATGCTTCATATCATCAAATGAAGCTTAGAAATGATTTCACAAGACATTTACAGGCTGAAAGTGTGATGCAGTCAGAGATGCATTTATTGTGAACTATTTTATTGTAGAATGTGTATAAAAACAAAAATACTCATATTCAGGATGTCTCTAAAATGATATAGGAGTGCCCTCAATAAGCCAGGAATTAAAAGTGTTTTATTGTTTGACAAATATATTTTTGTATCTAAAACAGCCACTAACTGGAATCATGTTCTAATATTCATAGTATGAGAATCACATGTTAACTGTACAGTATTTTAAAATAGTGAAAACAGTAATTGAACTACGTTTAGATGGCACTTTTATCCAAAGCGCTTTTTAGTCTGCCTCTCATTCACCCATTCGCTCATGTACAATAAACGCTCCCACACTCACACACCAATGGCAGTAACCTACCCTGCCATTAGCTGTGAGGAAAAGAGGGCTGACATGTATTACGATGTCTGTATCCAAATGTATTTTAAGTAATATCAAATGTAGCACCTAATACTCTGATATCCACTGTAGAGGCATGTGTTTAGATGTTCTGTTATTTGTACATGCCTGAGAATGGACGTCTAAAGACGGAGAAGGGGTTTACTGCAGTGGTGCTGAATAGACAATGCAGTTGCACTGGGGCCCGTAGGGTGGGGGGCCTGTAGGGAGCAAGCCCTCTATCAACGTGTTGGGTGATGAACGAGTACTTTCAAGTTATTCAGAAAGCCACCTTGGAAATACCCTTGTGTGTGTGTGTGTGTGCGCGCGCGTGCATGCTTCACCGTGAACTGGGGCCCATTGTTAATAATGCTATTTTGCCTTTTATATATACAGTAGTAAGTACATAGTTGCACCTATATGTAATAATGTGTTAGATGGGTATGTGGTGTATGTATGCGTTTGTGCATTTAGATGTATGAATGGAATGCATTGAAATGTCTGTGCATGTGCATACTTTCCATAGTGAATATGCATATTCATATGTGCATATATATATATATAGTGCATATGTTGTATTTCTTTAATTGTTACAATGATATGAAACGATATTTGGTGTTCCTTCCATAATATTTACCCAGTTTGAGCAAAAACACATCAATCTAATCATAAAAAAGGACACACTGACATGAGTGTGTGCTTGTATTCAAAGAGAAACATGTTATTACAGGATGAAGATTCAAATATCTGATCTGTTAACACACCTGCAACTATATAAGGCCAAGGATTTGGGCAGGATTGGCTTTAACAGTGGCATCTTAGCACAAACATTCAATTGTCTATTATTCCATCCTTTGTGTTAAATGCTGTTCTCAAGTGCAAGTATTTACTCTGCAGACTTTTTTGGATAAAGGTTGAGAACAAGTTGTGTAAGAATAATGTCTCTAAACACCTTCATTCAACAGCCATTGAGGAACGCTGAGTATTTCATAAATTATAACTGTCAGTGTGAGGAGAGTTAAAACCTTTAAGAGTTTAACAGGCCAGACTCCAATTACAACAACCACAGGTAACATAGGAGTTAATTATATGGTAGGATATGTTTCCTATTTCTAAATCCCAAAGTGTGACTAAAAAGACATATGTTATTTGTAAGAACAACGACCTTCCACCCCCACATACATGCATGCTGAGAATTTCCAACTGAATTTTGGAGATGTCGTGAAATTGTGAAAGTTCAAGTTTCTGGCTGTAAATGCACTTGTTTGACTAAATTCACAAGTATCACAGTGCTCTTTCTACAAAAACCCTACATTAGGAGGTGCGCACATGGTAAGACTAGTATTTGGTTTCAGCAACACATCATGAACTCTTTTGGGAGAAAAAGCTTGACAAAGAAAAAGCACATCAGTATTGGTTCAGGGAAAAAAAGAAAGCTGAGACGAAGTGCAAAGGTGAAGTGCGTTTATGGTAATATGACACCTGGCAGTCCTTTATAAGAGTGCCTCACCTTGCCTGCACAGACACAAGAAGACAGCAACAAAATACATCTGGAGCTTTAAGGTGAGTAGCTTTTAATCTTTAAATAGAAAGAGGCACTGCTCCGTTTTAATTTAGAGTTTCTTTAATATTTTGTAATGGTCATAAATATTCTATCAGATAAGATCCAGTAAGATTTAAAGAATTTGTAGCAGTTTTGTTTGGGTTATTCTTATTTTGACTTAATTTGACTTACTTACTAGTAAAAGCACACCTCACATCAAATCAATGTAAATGTGTCAGATTTAGCCAAACGGGAAATTTTCATTTTCAATCAAATTCTAGGTCAGGGCACAGATTCAGGGAAGAGATGTGGATTGTTTTTTCATCAGCATATCAAAACCAATGACATTTAATTTAGTTTCTTACCAAAAGATCAGAACAACATTTCCTGTAATGTGTTTAACAACCAAGAGTTGTAGAGTTTAAAAACAAGTCAAATGTGTTAGATGTACATGCACACATACACAAAGAGAGCTGATGTGAAATATGTGTTAAAGGTTCAAAGTTTTAAATGTGAATAACAAAGGCTTGGGAGGAAGTCAGGTGCAATAATCCCAGAGTGATAAGGCTGACTGCAGGCAAACATTGTAATTGCTGGCATCCTTCTGGCTTCTTTCAGTGCTGCAACTACAGACGACACCATGCGGTTCAACACGATGTTCTTTCTGCTGATCCTATCCTGTCTCTGTCTTACACTGGCACAAAGTAAGACACTGTAAAAGCTGCCTTCTGGAATTAATGTCACATTGATGACATTTAATACACAGCAAAGATAAAAAAAAAAAGAAGGCCAATGAGAGAGGTTTATTGCCTCAGTAAGGGTGTGGGCAGATGTGGCCTCATTGTGTAATATTGCCCTGTTCAGGACCTTTAGTACTTTATTACCTTTTGATTGATTTATTTGACCGTGTTGTACAAATAATATTATACTGTGGTGGCACTGGATTGCACTGGAGTTCTGACTTTACTGCACTGGATTTCTTATACTTCAGCGACCTATGAAGACTGCTGTTTTAGGTATGTGAAAACAATGAACCAGCGCACTCAAAAACGCGCAGTGGAGTACAGACAGCAAGTGGTAGATGGAGGCTGCAACATCCCTGCTGTAATGTAAGTACACGTGCATAGATGATGAGAAGATCCACTCTAAAACTGAACTGACTTTAAGTGCCTAAACTTACATTGCTCTCTCATTACTACTCAAAATAAACGTCTTATCAACTATTGCATCTTGTTATAGTGTTGGTCATTGTTGCTTTTTATTTATATATATATTTTCTAATTACACAAATGTTTTTCACTACTTGTGTATAACAGTCCTGTCTATTATTTACCTTTACCTGTCTGTAGAGAGAGATGCAGAGACACCAGAGTCAAATTCCTTGTAAGTGCACACATGGGCCAGTAAAGCTGATTCTGATTATTAATTATCCTCTAGCTTCACCATGAAGAGAGGGCGTGAGCTGTGCACTGACCCCAAAGAGACATGGGTTAGAGGCCTGATGAAGAAGATTGACAATAAGGGAGGCAAAAATGATCACAAGAAACCCAAGAAGGTAAACTGTAAAACTGTCCATCAAATCAAGTCATGTCTGTCCATATTTAATCCCGAACAAAATATTCTGAAAAATTCTGCCAGTGCAGTATATATATATTACCAGTTTCCTATGGATATCATAGTTTTTTATTGTAGTAATATTCAAATGGATGTCTTTGCTCTTCACAGCACTAACACCCGGACAGAAGCTGAGGGCAATCAGCCTGATTCAATGGCCCCAAGCCAGCTCTCATCTATCTGCCAAATCCTATCATTGAGCAACGCACGGTTTCATGGAGGTTTTATGGTGTCTTACTGGCAGGCAGTCGACATGTTTGGCCAAGGAAATCTTGTAGCATTACTTTTGCTTTCACTCGTCACTAAGATAAAGATCAAGGCTTGGGTAGAAACACAACAGCACTCTGTGGTACAGGAATGAACCGCTGATGCCAACTGGCCGCTACATAAATACATAAATGCCTTCCATAGCATGACTGCTTCAATGACAATATTTGTGACTGTTTTTCTTGCCCTTTAAGACACAAAGTATTCAATAAGCTGTTTAATTAATGGTGATAGAGTGTAAATGATAATATTAGATATGTAACATTTGGAGTATATCTGGCATGATGTGTCTAAATGTCCATCAAATGGTTTATTTGCAGACACAAACTGGTAAATATAAATGTCTTCTGAAATGTGTGGAGAACTCTTATCTTAATTTGTTCAAAATATATTAAATGTCTGTCTTTTCGTACATTTTTTGTATCGGTTTTATTCTGTGTTCCCATGAATGCATTATAACAATAAACTTGCTTATCGCTTTCCACTGTTTTCCTCTTTGACCACTTTTGCATTTTCACACTATATTTACTAAAACAGGGAACATTATGTAAAAAAAAGAGAAGAAAGGGGACGCCCCATTCCAGTGTTCCAGTGAACGGTGTATGCAAAGTTCAAGAACATGTATGTTGCATGAACCCGAGGCATGCAGCTTTAATAATCTAAAGTTTACCTTAAGACATGAGCTCCTTAAAATGAAACACATATATTCTATGAGGCTACTATAAAGTATAATTCTCATCATCACCCGATGTTGCCATCATTAAATGTACTTTACGCTGACAGTATTTTACTTGACAAATGTTAAAACACAATTTTAATACGACACAGTTATGTGTAACAAGTAGATATGTAGAACAGATAATCTGAATGTGAGATGCTTTTGAAATGTCGTTGAGATGCTTCAACAATTTCACACACTGTTTGCCTTTAAGCTGCATACAGTCCTATATATCTTTTTGCTCCCCAGTTTCATGTTTTTCTTATCCTATCTTGTCTTGAAACAATTAATTTGACGGCTTTGTACGGAATGCACCGGCAATTGGATCAAACAATTAACAAACTAAAAATCCCCATATTTAAGCATTTTGATTAAAACTGCAGTGCAAAAATATCTGCAGGAAGAAATCCGACACACATGAAGCTTTAATGAGTATGAATGTGATGTGCTGATTTACAACCAGCAGTATCTGATCTGGCATGGTGCTGGATTCACTCATTGATCTATGTGTGTTACTCTCTCATGTCCATGGGCATCATCAAGAACTGCTGGGACATGCAGCTGATAAAATCCCACTATGAGTAACGCAGTGTGTTTGACTGCACTGTCTGTGGAAATTGCATGAAAAGTATTTTGGTGCTGAGGCTTTCGGTTCTTCTTGTTTATATCAACAACGCTGACAGCTGTGCTGCACTTTTTGCTTTTGCATGCTGAGGCAGAAAGAATTGGCTGGTTGGCATCGGGATCAGAAATTGTTGCCTTCTTTTATCAAGGGGAAAATACTTTGAACATAAAACATGAGACAGGGAAACAACATGTGGAGAAATGACTTTACATTAAAACAAATGTGATGAATTACAGGAAATAGGATGATGAAGCACACATAGACCAGAAAGCGAAAATAAATTATGAAAAGACTTGTTTCCGAATGTTGTATCTCTGCCATCTTCATAACTTAGAAGGCTATAAAACACGTTAACAGAAGTCTGTGCAAGTTTGGTGTGAAAGACTTGGAAATAAATCATGAGTTCTGAGTGTAGAAAGAGCAACAAGAAAGAAAGAAAGATGAAAGCAGTTGTAAAGCATTGCACACCACTAAGCCATTTGAAAATGACGTCATGTGTAGCCATATTTTACACTGATCAACCTAAGCCCCAAAATAGTCATGGGAACTCATTTATTTTTACTGTGTTTGCAGGATCATCGATCATGCTAACATGTGACATGTATATTTGTGTAACGCCTATGAACGTAGTGAGTTGTTTGCCGTTCTTAAAGGTCAGTCAAATTCAACGTTGACTTCAGTTTATTATGGCTTTCAAGAGGTGAGATCAAATTAAGATATTTACATTTTTACACCTTTTTTACTATTTCAATAAAATAAAAAAATACTGCACATGTGAAATATAATGAGATATGAGTGTAAAAAATTCACAATTTTGCAGAAGTAAAAATGACCTAATCTAATCTAAAGAGTTCTAAAAGCGACGTTGCAGGAAAATGAAGAAAAAAACCCTGAAAAAATAGTAGTAGTAATACAAATAATTATGATTAAAATAATCGGTGTATACATGTATACATATATTTTATTTTTAATACAAAATACATTAAAAATAAATATACCAGTGCATTCTATCACTTACCTTTTTTTCTGATTAATATTGTGCTCATTTATAACAAACATGTTTTTGACGTTTCCACATAATTCCTTTGCTTTACTGAAAGAGGAATCTCCGGGTCATTGTCAGCCCTCATGTGCAATTTCTTTCATGCTGAGACGGTTTAGTTGCAGCTCACTCTATAAAAACTTTGGATGTTATCTTTGTGGACAGAGAGCCAAACATGATCACAGAGTTTGCCATTGGGTCTACACTTTCAATCACAGCGACCTGCATTAGTGTGATAGCAGATCTTTTGTCAACAAGATCCTTTCATGATATGAGAGCTATTCAATATCGGATTCTGTCCATTTATCTCTGCTAAAACAAGAGATACACTGTTAAAGGGTCAAAACTGTGAGTCAAAACTAAAATAAAAACTAATTGAAAGCAAAACTTTGGTCAGGAGGAAATTAGCTTAGCTTATATAAAGACTGGAAGAGGGGGTAAACAGCTAGCCTGGCTCACTAAAAAGCTCCAAAAACACACATACCCGAACCAACGGCAAATAAGCACATTTCCCTATATGTTGAACAATTGAGAAACTAAACTACATGATGATACAGACCACAGATTGACGTTTGTTTAAGCAGCCATCTGAGCCTGCCCTCCATGTGAGTCTGTTCTGGGACTCTTTGGTGCAAGTCTGGCTGTAGCCCACAGCCTCCACGGTCCTCCTCTTTTGGATACGGTGCAGCAAAATCCGGTAAGTACCATTGATGAGGCTTTTCAAGTCTAGGCTGCTGTTGAGGACTTGGAACTTAGTAATGCCAAGATCCTCCAGCGCTGCCTTTACATTCAGTTCATCTGCACTGAGGATGTGGGAAGGTTCGACCAGGTGGTAGGGTGTGGGGCTACAGGCCAGGTAGGCCTCGGAGCATTCAATACCTCTCATCCAGTCACTGTCCATGATGTGTTCCACAGTGAGGCGATCCACAGGAACCGGCCTCAGGAGGCCCGCAATGATCTCCTTGCACGATCCGGGTACATAGGGAGGAATGGCATAGGAGCCCTGCAGGATACAACACCTAAGCCTGCCTGTGTTTGCAGCTTTGAATGGCATTGTGGCAGTCACCATGAAGTAAAGCAGGATACCCAGTGCCCACATATCTGCATATTGACCAATGTAACCTTTCTCTTTGAACAGCTCAGGGGCTGTATAAGGTGGAGAGCCACAGAATGTGTGAAGGACGTCGCTGGGGCAGCAGAACGTGCTGAAACCAAAGTCACCCACTTTAATGCAGTAGGTGTTGGTGTAGAAGACGGTCTCTGCCTTCAGGTCCCTGTGGACGATATTATTATCATGCTGGGGAAAAAAGAAAAGAGAGAAATGATTGAGGCATTACAAAGGTAATCAGCTCTCCTGCACAGCTGGTTTAAGGTACGGGAGCCTTTGAATGCAGAGTCACAAGAAACGCTGTATTCTCTAGTGTTATTTAAAATATATAATATTAGGTATATCTTCTAGAAATGTATCTTAAAAGGAAGTCTTGTCAAGCAGTTAGTTGTTTAAATAGTCTGCATTGGGAATCTCTTCTCTCATTTTACAACACATGCACTGCTCACAACGTGCACCGAAAGACTAGCTGGTGACTTACCATATGTTTGATTGCAGACACAACCTGAGAAAACACAAGCTTGCTGTCCATGTCTGAAAGGCGCCCCCTGGTGCTGATACGGGAGAACAGCTCTCCTCCGCTGGCATACTCCATCACCAGGTAAAGCCTCTTGAATGTCTCCACCACCTCATACAGGCGGACGATATTGGGGTGAGCCAGCTTCTCCATGCAAGAGATTTCTGAGGCAAAAGGCGCCTGTGATCGCTTGCCCGACGCACTTTATCCAGGATTTTTACTGCCACTCTTTCTATCAGATGACGACAGATATGGGCAATGAGGCCACAAGGAACACACACACACTTTATTTGTTTCTATGCTTTTTCTATCAATCAATCTTCCTTATGTTATGAAGTGTTGCTTCTCCTTTTTGCTTTGATCTACGGCTTTTCATTAATTCCTACTACTGTCTGCTTTTCAGCATCATCGTCTGGTTGCACACAAGCTGCTGGCTGTGAAAACTGACGACAGTAGTGAATGGCTGGCTGGTGAGGTGTCCTCTGACAGCCAGAATGACTCAAAGTGGTGTAATTTGAGCCGAGCTGACTGAAGTGTCTTCCATGAAATTAATCTGGATGTCTGCACATTCATTTTTTCATTCAACAGAGTTTCCAACTAAAATGTATCGGGTAACAAGTAATTTCACAGATACATACAATTCCTTTTAATGATACTTAAATGGAAAATATGATTCAATATAAGACAAATCTCTCATAATATAACGACCCACTTTCATTGGCAGTGTTTGCGGTGGTGCTTCAGATGTTTTATGGAGAGATATGAGAAGTGTGGCCTTTTCAGACCAAATTATCATTACTTTGACAAATTTATGGAAATAACTCTGGGACACATGCACTTTATTGGCATCAGAATGCACCCAGCATCTCACCTTTGGTCAGGTCATGTATCCCCAATCTAACCTGGGAGAAGTTTCCGGAGCCGATCTCTCCTCTCAGCTCGTAAAGCCCCACCCGCCGTCCAAATGTCAGATCATTAATCCCCCTCTCTGAATGGGTCAAATCATGAAAGGCCTTCCCAAACGCAGTGAGCTGCATCAACTCCTCCTCCACTGTCATGTTCTCCAACTTTTCCCCCGCCTTTGGGGACGTCAGGGTGATCTCCTCATGACGTGGAGTTGTCTTTAACTGAGCCCCTGAGAAGGAGAAAAGAATGAAGGGATGCAACAGAAACGTTTATTAAGTTTAGCTTTATTAGGCTTGAACATATTATTTACTGCATCTTAATGCCTTAAATATAAATAAGTCTAGCTAAATAATAAAATATTACAATTTCAATGTGTGTTTGTACTCACTTTTTTCGCCTTTTATGTTCTTCTTACTCCTTTCTGTTTCAATGGCATTATTTCTGCTGTTCAAATACATGATTTGTATCCCAGAAGGCACTCTGTTTTCTTTTGTAATCCGATTTTAGAAAATAAAAAAGGTGGTAAATTACAGAGAGAAAAGAAATCCCGAAAACAAAAAACTGAA